ATGTTTGTTTAAGCCATTTTTAAAGTAATCACTACCCGCAACATGGGGCTCAAACTCAAGACTCCGAGATCAAGAGTTGAATGCTCCACTGACTGAGCCAGCCAGGTGCCCCAATAGAATTCTTTTTAATAGACTAGTAGTCCATTTAGATATCTACTTATTAAAAAATGCTTCTGGATATCTTTTTTTGGATGTTAATAAGTACCTACAATTTTAATTTCTGGGAAGAGATCAAAAGATTACTTGCATTCTAAAATTGTAAGTGAGGCTAGTGATTTACTTTTGTATTTGATCAAATTTTTGTTTGAAAATTTGGAAATGAATCTGAATTTGAATAATTTAATAATGGAAGTAGTGATTTGTTTATGAGAAGTCTGTACTTCAGAGTAGTGATTGACATTAATAGAATAAATAACACATTAATATATAGGATTAGAACTCAGGCCTTTATCAGTCTTCCTAATTAAAGTGTCCTAATGGAAATTTCCCCCCAAATTTAGTTTTAATAGTTTTTAAAATTTCTTTGGGGCACCTGGGTGGCTCAGTTGGTTGGGCGTCTGCCTTCAGCTCAGGTCATGATCTCAGGGTCCTGGGATTGAGCTCCATGTCGGGCACCCTGCTCAGTGGGGAGCCTGCTTCTCCCTGTCCCTCTGACCCCCACGCGTGCTTGCGCTCTCTCTCTCAAATAAATAAATACAATCTTTTAAAAAAAATAATATTTGTTTCTTTTATTTAGCAATTTCCTTATGTAAACAAACCACACATGTATCTAGGTCAGTCTGGGAAACCTTCCTTTATCCTTTCAGAGTCCCTCATCTGCAGTGCAGTATCTGGTCCTTGAATATATTTCTCTTAATATTTTTTAGATTGCTGTAAGTTAATATAATTTGTGATAATTTAAAATATAATTTCCTATAATGTATGGCTGGGGTTTTTTATGTTTTTGCTAAAATATGTTTTATATTTTTACATGAGATATGTTTGTATAATTTGGACTTAGTATTTTAAGTAGGGTTAACTGCTAAACATAAATTATTATTTATGTAATTCCTCAGGCAAAATTATATCATGAATGATGGCGTAGTAATCTTTTCTGTGATTGTCATGAAAATTTGAATTTAGATAGTTTTCTCAGTTTTAATAGTATTTTTCTTCTAAACATTTTTCTAAAAATAGGAGTATTTTCTGCATTGCGTGCTGTTCCCCAGAAGGAGGGATACCTTGGATTATATAAAGGGAATGGTGCAATGATGATTCGAATCTTTCCCTATGGTGCAATCCAGTTTATGGCATTTGAGCATTATAAAACGGTACTTGAACTTTTATATTGTTTTCTTTTTTGTGTCCTTGAATATCATACTCAGTTGAAAGGCATTTGCTTTGGCCTTTAAAATTACTTTGGATGAATGGGTAAAGTAATGCCTTTTTGAAGGAGAAAGACTTGTGATAGCTTAAATTTTTAAATGTAACTTGGTTTTGGAGTTACCTATTCTAGAATTGCTAGTCAATTTTGAGCAAATTGTTTATGTACACACTTATGAGGAAGAGCCAAAATAAACTTCAAGTAGATAATAATAAATCCGTAAAATTTTAATAGCTTTTTAATGTGCTTTTTGTTTCTCAGTTGTAGGAAAGGACGTTGTGGCTTTAGATTTTCTTACTAAATACAATAGTGAAATCATATGCTGAAAGTCTGTTCTTGAGTAATGCTATCAGTTAACAACTTCTCTTATCCTACTTATTGATTGACTTTCTCTTCTCTGTTGGACTGAAAGTTTATCCTCTCAAACATCTTAATATAGAAAATGGTTAAGTATGTTAAATTTCATAGGGTATCTTAAAAAGAAATGTAAGCAATGGGATAGGAACAACATTCTAAGCTCATCAGTCAGAATTGATGCCATCATTATATCAAGACTTCATTGTCTGTAGTAGCATTTTATTTGTACTGTTGCCACTCACTCTTTAAGTATATGTAGTCGTCAATGTGCAACATAGTATATTTGGCAATTCTAAATTAAGATTGTAAAAGTGCAGAGCTAGAACAGAAGGCTACAGAGGAAATACCTTACCTACTCACCATGTGCTATAACTGTGCACCTTTATACAGTTGCACTTGTTTCACTTATGGTTAACACTAATTTTCTTCTTACTAGTCCTGTAACTCTGTTTTGAAATTTCTTCATTATGAAACAGTGAAATGAGAAGTACTTAAAAATAATCCATTTAATTTGATGTTTTTGATTTCTAGTTAATTACTACAAAGCTGGGAGTTTCCGGTCATGTGCACAGATTAATGGCTGGATCCATGGCAGGTAAGAGGAGTGGACGGATGTGTTTTATTTATTTTTTAAAATATTTTATTTATTTATTTGAGAGAGAGAGAGCGTGAGAGAGAGAGAGCACAAGCAGAGGGGAGGGGCAGAATCAGAGGGAGAAGCAGACTCCCTGCTGAGCAGGGAACCTGATGCCAGACTCCATCCCAGGATGCCGGGATTGTGACCTAGGCCAAAGGCAGATGCTTAACCAGCAGCCACCCAGACACCCAGAACCTTTGTTTTACAGTGATCTCAAGACTGTTTTCTAACAGAATCACTTTTTTTTTTTTTTAATATTTTATTTATTTATTTGAGAGAGACAGAGATAGAGAGAGCTCGAGCAGGAAGGAGGGGGAGAAGCAGGCTTCCCGCGGAGCAGGGAGCCCGATGCGGGGCTCGATCCCAGGACCCCGGGATCATGACCTGAGCCGAAGGCAGAGGCTTAATCATCTGAGCCACCCAGGCGCCCAAGACTGTTTTCTATATCAATACAGAGCTCTTTCTTATTTTTTCTAAAGACCTGATGTTAAATTCTAATCTATGAATGTATCATGATTTATTTAATCCAGTCTCCTATTGACTGGCATTTGGAATATTTTCAATTTTTGTTTCACAAGTAACACATTGTACTTGTGTTATTTTATTTGTAGAATAAATTTTGAGAAGGGAAATTACTTTATCAAGGGATATGTGCATTTAAATTTTGATAGGCATTGTCAAGCTGATCTTCATAATGCTTTTAATGACTTTTTCCCTTACATACCATACCAATACTGGGTCTTACCAAATTTTTAATATTTAGCAATTAATTATGAGTAAGGTTGATCAGCTTTCCAATGTTTGTGTGAGGCGAACATGATAACCACTACACGACGGAAACGGGACTGCTTTCCAATGTTTATTGACCATTTGTGTTTCTTTCATTTTCAGTCTGAGTTGCTTCTATTTTTTAAATATCATTTTGCTTAAAAAATCTATAAAAAATTATTTTATGAATTTGGGAATTAGGACATTGCTTTTTTTCTGTCAGATATTGCTAATAGTTTATCAGTTTTAGATTTGTCTTTTAACCTTGTAATATTTTTTAAGAAGAGTCATTCAAAATTCTCACATACACCCACACACCCAACCCCCACACCCCCACACCCATAGAAGTTTTACAAAGCTAATGCGTTAGTCTTTTTGTTGTGCCTTCAAAATTTTGTGTTGTTTTTAGAAATGCCTTCTTCGTTCTAAGATAAAAACATTTTATCATGTTTTCTAAAATTTTATTTATTTTTATTTTTATTTTATTTATTTTTTAAAGATTTATGTATTTGACAGAGAGAGACACAGAGAGGGAACACAAGCAGGGGGAGTGGGAGAGGGAGAAGCAGGCTTTCCGTGGAACAGGGAGCCTGATGTGGGGCTCAATCCCAGGACTCTGGGATCATGACCTGAGCCGAAGGCCGACGTTTAATGACTGAGCCACCCAGGCACCCCTTTAATATTTATTTTTATATAAAAAATGAAGTAGGGATTGAATAAAATTTTTCTCCAAATGACTAGTCATTTACGCCAACATTGTTTACTCAATAACTTGCCTTTTTTTCTGATTTTAAGTACCAACTCTATCATATACTAAATTCAGTAATTTTATTTTTATTTTAAATTTAATTTATTTAAATTTAATTAACATATAATATTAGTTTCAGAGGTAGAGTTCAGTGATTTATCGGTTGTTTATAATACCCAGTGCTCATTACATCACGTGCCCTCCATAATGCCCATCACCCAGTTACCCCATACCCCACCCCCCTCAGTAACTTTATTTAAGAGAAGAAGTAAAGATGTATACAGTGATATTTAGCAACAGAGATGTTCATTGCAGTTTTGTTTATCATACCAAAAGGTCATTTAAATATGTAGCTATAAAGGAGTGGTAAAAAAAATTCCATGTATCAGAATATCTAAAACCCTTGAGATCTGCGGTGTGGTTGGGGAGAATGGTAGACAGATGTGTTGAGCATGTAGGCCCCAAAAGGAAACAAAAACCCTGGATAGATGTTGGAGACACTATGGCTATAGATAATCATCTGCCTTCCTGGTTATTGAGATGACAGGCTTGTTCTTAGATGACAGGTCTTAGAGACTTTCCAGATACAACTTCAGACTCTGAAACCAGTGACTCTTCAGCCTTACCTTTCTACCTAGATATATAGTCCTCATTTATGGTTTTGCCTTATCCAGTGTTTATTTAGCTTTTCTTGACTACTTGATGCTGATCCAAGTTCAATAAGTCGTAAAAATAACCAGGAATAATATTCAAAATACTTAGCAACACAACTGTAGAGGTACTAATAAATAGGACAGGTTCTGAAAGTTTCCAATTAACTCGTTAGTGATTGATGCATGAGTAGTATGTGGTGGTAGTGGTGGTGGGAGTTTTGGGAGGGGGAGAGGGCTACCAGAGTTTTGGGAGGGATGTTAGGGAGTTGGAACAACAGCTGTTTGCCAACTGGTATAGAAATATTTCCGTATGTTATACTGGCATGAAAGTGCTGGTGAGTAACATTAGCTAACAAGTATTGATTACTTACTATGTACCGTAGATAGACCTGAGCACTTGACATGTATCTTCAGGCACTTGACACATAGTCCACAGAAAAATACTGTGTGGAAAATGCTATGATTATCTTCATTTTATGGAAGAGAAATTTTAATAAGATTCTAAATTATAACAATTTTTTTTTAAAGATTTTATTTATTTATTTGACAGAGAGAGAGACAGCGAGAGAGGGAACACAAGCAGGGGGAGTGGGAGAGGGAGAAGCAG